CATGTTTGTTGCTCAAATCTTAGCTAAGGTCGTTGTGGGCCCTCAACTGTGTCTCTTTAGCAATCCTATAGCTTGTGTGGTGACAATTTGAATTGCAAGTCCAAGTCCCGTGCCATTGAGTCTAGAACTTGCCCTGAATGTTTGTCTAGGCAAAATCCTAAGTGTAGTTTGACTTGCGAAGTGATTATAGGCGCTCCTTGATCCGAATGATCTTGAAAACATCCATAGCCTACCAATGTTAATGTCCCTAGTCAATCCCTTTGAGCCATAGCCCTTTTTCCTTCAAAAACCATGATACAAGCCTTTACCCATTTTAAAAAGACCCTCTCTTGGCACCCTATCTTTCCTTAGCATAAGGCAAAAGCATAAGTTTGGGGGTAGAGACGAGGAATGCAACAAAGTGGTAAAAGGTGCAAAAACGAAGAAAAGGAAAGGCAAAAAGAAAGGGAAAAAAAAAGAAAAAAAAGACAAAAAGAATGAACAATATAGAAGAAATGAAGGGATTCAATAAAAGTAAAGTGATGAAAGGCGTGGAAATTTTAGAAAGGAGAAAAAGTTTTGAAATGATGAAGAAAGAGTGACAATGTGTCTCTCTAACCCCTAAGAAAGAAATAAATGACTCAAAAAGTCAAGAGAATGTGTGCCAAATGAAGCAAATGAAGTGCTTAAGGGAAGATGGAACCTACTTAGACCAAATATTTCCTACCCTGAACCAAAAGCCTTCACTATATCTCCACAAAAGCCCTATATGATCTTGAGTTGAATGAAGCTTACATTAGTGGTGACTCACATAAGGGGCAAGCTTATGGTACTTAGAGCCGGACTTGTGACCTTTCCTTGAGAGAGATGAGTGTGTTTTCCACAATCCTCGTTCTGAGTGCTACAACCTAAAAGTGAGGTTTGCTTATGGAGAGTTGAGGAGTATGAGTTTGGGTTCCACAATGACCAAAGTAGTAGAAAGAGTTTCCTTGATGAGTTGAGTCAATTCTTGATGCTTTTGTGTCGCACTAAAACCATGGTGTTTAAAAGGTTGAATGTTGTTAATGATTCATTTGAATTGAGGGCAATTGTTAGTCCCAATTGATGCTAGATGAGGTCACTTTAGGTCAGCTGAATTTTCTTGGTTGTATTCTTAAGGAGGTGGGACTTATTTTGTTTGCTTGAGGACAAGCAAAAGCTTAAGTTTGGGGGAGTTGATAACTAGGGATTCTAGTTCATTTTACACTCCTTTTTACTTGAGTTTTGATTAAAAATGTATACAAATAGTCCCAAAGGCTTACATGTTGTACTTGTTTGCAGGGTTTGGTTGAAAAAGTGACAAGTAGTCAAAACCAGCTCAAAAAGGAGTGAAACCTGCACAAGTACCAAGAACAAGTCAGGGCACTGCTACAACATAAAATCCACTGCAGCCACAGAAGACTCCACCGCGGCCCGCAGTGGAAAAGATCAGAGAGATGCAATTTTGGAAGCTCAAGCACTGCGGTCCGTGATAGATTCTTCGCGGCCGCAGTAGCCTCATCGCGGCCGCAATCCATTTTATGCAGTCCACGGAGAGGGGATTCAGAGAGCTGGGAGTTTGGAAGATTGGAAGCCACTGCGGCCGCAGTCCATTTTGTGCGGACCGCAGTGAAGCCACCGCGGCCGCGGTGCATTTTATGCGGTCCGCGGTGGCCAGATTCAGAGCCTGAGAAATGAAGCTAAAAAGCCTCACTGCGGCCGCGGTGTATTTTTCGCGGTCCGCGGTACCTCCGTCAGGGGTATTTTTGTCCAGAAAATTTGGCCTTGTATAAATATTTCTTTTTCAGGTTTTTAGGTTATCTATCTTTTAGCTGAGCACGTAAAGGTGGTTTTATCCTATTTTGAGTAATTTTATAGTTGGTTTAACATTGAATCTTTAATTCTTAGATTGTAAACATATTATATGGGTTATTATTCATCTAAATATTTGCTTTCTTCCATTATTATGAGTAGCTAGACCCATTAGTTAGGGTTGTGGCTCAACCCTAGAGTGGGTATTTGATGGGTCTTTTGTTCTAAGGCTTAGATGTTTATGGGTGGTTAATATTTGGACTGATTTGTGTTTTCCATGTTGAATTAGTGGTTGCAAACACTAATTTGTGCCTTTTTGAATTAAGCTCTTCTTGAGAAAGAGAGCTTGAGTCTAGGAAAATCAGTCCAACAAGGAATTGGGGCGTATTCAAGAGATTGATAGCCCCAATTAAAGGGTTAAATCTAGAGATAGTAATACCCGACTTGAGCCTACATTGCTTGCATAATTTTGACACCCAATTGGTCTTGAGAAAGTCAATTAGGGCAAAGTCACTCAAGCTACCGAGAGGTATAGAGTGAGTAGTGTCGTGCATTGGCTATATCGCGATCCCAAACATAACAGCTTTGCCTTAGGCTTTAGAACCCGTCAAGTATTCACCTAGGAGAAAGTCACTTCCCTAGTGCCTCGTTAACCATTTAGAAAATCTTACAAACATTCATACTTAGCTTAATTTCGCATATCATTAGCATAAAATTAGATGTAACAAACAAACAAATATGATTGGAAGTATAATCAAGAGCACTACGCACTGCTAGATTAGATAGAAATCTAACTCCAAACATTGTTCTACCTCCCTGTGGATTCGATCCCGACCTTTTCGGGTAAAAGCTGCATCGACTGCTCTTGCCACTTTGTAGTGGTGCAGGGTTGGACACGATCATACCTCTACCATTACCCTTGCATACATGAGCTTCTCTTTCATCGTTGTTGCAGTGTCTGCCTTCACAGGTTTCCCCACCAGCCCAGCTATTTTTCTTAGAGTTGCTTGCCCCCAGTATTTCAGATATAAACCAACTAATCTGATCCATATAGGCACCTGCTCCACCATTACATTATTTATCTCCATTCCAGGTTTCCATGGCTTTACCACTACTGGTTTCCTATCAAATATCTGCACTCCCCCTTTAATTGCCTTTGTACGCCCTTCTGTGTTGTGAAATCTAACCATAAACACTCCTTTATTTTATTTGTGCTACCTTATCCACCCCCAATGTATACCATATGCGCTTGAAATATCCCTTAACTACTGTCAGAGGAGGATTCGACCCCAGTACAAAGCACCCAACTGCCGTTTGCCAGTATTCTATCTCTCCTTTTACATCTTCCAAAGTGATTTTTACATTTGCACTTGAATTAGTTTCACCTTCTAGATCAAATCCCTCAGCTATTGGTGCACTTTCTACTACCTTACTCCATGACTTCAAATTTGCAGCTAGGCTTTGAGATTTACCTATGGATTTCTCCTCTGTTTCAGCCTGTTCCGCCCACGACTGCTTTCACTACAAGAAAGCTATCTTTTAGTGGCAATATTTAGTGGCGACTTTATTTATTGCTACAAATATCAAATTTATTGTAGCGACTATAAAAGTCACTACAGAAGATAAACTTTTAGTAGCGACTTTCTTAGGTCGCCTCTAATATGTGCCACTAAATCCTGAATTTTTAGTTACCGCTATTAACAAAAAATTGGCTCCAAAGTTTTAGGAGCGACTTGAAAAATATCGCCCCTATAGGTCTTTTGGAGCGACTAGGTCGCTACAATAAATTAAAAAAAATCACTTGCATTAAAAGAATCAAAGAAAGAATATGAAAGGCTAGTTTACAGAGAAGAGAAGAAACGTACTTCTGCAGCTTCATCCTTTCACTCTCTCTCAACAAAAGGGGTTTTCTCCCACTCTTATTAAAAATTATCCATCCAATTCCCTCAAATCTCTTGAATCTATCCTTAAATCACATATGTAAATCGATACCCAAAGCCATAATCAGTAATTATATTCTCAAATTAGGTATATGTTTGAATCCTAATGCAGCTAGCGAGAATGATTATTTTTTCAATTTCACCTTTAATTTCTCTGACCCATTTGAAAATATACAGGAATCAGAAGTAATTTTTCTTGAATAGCCATCGCCTAAAGCCCTTTGTCAGTGTCGACTGCTCGTTCCCTGGGTAAGTTGAAAACTTATTTCTAAAATTTTAGTCCTTTTGATGATTGCATGTATGGTATTCCTCTAAAACTGTGAAATGTGATGTAGGTGTTATGGGTCTTCATTTTTCTTTATATTTTTCTATGGAACCCGAATTTTTTTCTTGATATTGGTCACATGTTGGGCGGTCTCCAGTAGACAAACCTCTGTACAAGTATCTGTACATCAGATAAGATGGTTTGATTGAGAATCTTGTAACCCAACTTCAGAAATATGCCACATTACTAGTGCAACATGTAGATCTATGGATTTATTTTCCTTTTTAAATATTGGATAAATTGCACGGCAAATTCATATTCATTTCTTCTCTGTGTCTCAAGTATTTATACATCATGTTCATATTCAACTACAGTGTGTGTGAAGCAGAGTCTAGATGGTCCAATATAAGAAAAAAAAAGAATGTCTCCTTCCATTTCTGCTATTCCTAGAGTTCAAATTAGTTATGTTGTGGTCACCAGAATGGTCCATTAGAGCAAATGAAAGCATTCAAAAAGAGTTCATTCAACAAGGAAATGTCACCTTGCATCACATAATTCCTTCATCTTCTTTACATTAACGAAGATATAAAGAGATCTAGGACTAAACTTTAACTAGAACCATAAGAAATCAAATCAGCAACAAATTATTTAAAGCTGGCATCTTGTTGACAAAGGTAGAATATTGGTATATCCACAATTACTGCAACTAAACTAATTAATGCTAATCAACATACAACCATAACTGTAAGTATTATTGTAAACATTTCCCTCTTTGACTAGTATAGTATTATTGTATTTTCGTTTGAAGCACTGTTTCTATTGAGATGCTACTCTTAATAGGAAAAAGTCGTTGCTGCAATACTATTTTTTTTATGGGTGATTTGATTTGTTCATATTTTTCACTTATGTTCTTGTTGATATGTTGGTTGTTGTTGCACTTCACTTTTAGTTAATTAATTGATTCCCTGTTATCTTAAAAAATAGGAATGGATAAAAGTTGGTTGAAGCTTAGGAATAGAGGAGACCAAAGATATAGAGATGGAGTAGACGGTTTTCTTAGTTGGGCATTCAACCAACCAAGGGTGAGCACTATGATTCGATGTCCTTGTAAAGGGTGTATGAAAACTGTGTTCAAGCTAAGGACCGATGTAAGAGGAGACTTATTGAGGAAGGGTTTCTGGGATTCTTATAAAGTGTGGGACTTGCATAGAGAACTGTTAGTTAGAGGTGAAAATTCTAATGTACCACGCAATGATGAAGTAGGAGATGATAACATTGAAGAGGATAATATTACAGAAATGATTCACGATGCTTGTGGATACACTAATGTGGCAGATGATAATAATTTTTCAGAGGATAATGAAGAGCCAAATATACATGCAACAAAGTTCTACAAATTATTAGAAGATGCTCAAATTGAACTTTATCCTGGTTGTAGTAAAGTCTCAAAGTTGTCTTTTGTTGTTAAACTACTTCACTTGAAGTGCCTTAACCATTGGAGCAACAAATCGATGGATGAACTGTTGAGCTTTTTGAAAGAAGTTCTTCTGGAGGGGTCGTTTGTACCAAATTCTTTCTATGAAGCGAAGAAAGTTCTTCGTGACCTAGGGTTGGGGTACAACAAAATAGATGCATGTCAGAATGATTGTATTTTATATTGGCGCGATTATGCCAATGCTCAATCATGTCCTAAGTGTGGTAAGTCTAGATGGAAGTCAGACGAACAAAAAGGAAAGAAAGTAGCTTGTAAAGTATTGCGACATTTTCCAATCAAACCAAGGCTTCAGAGATTGTACATGGCAAAAGAGACAGCAAAAAAGATGAGGTGGCACAAAGAGGAAAACATTGATGATGGTGTCTTGCGACATCCGTCCGACTCCATTGCCTGGAAATCCTTTGATGAGCGACATCCCACCTTTCAGCTGAATTAAGAAATGTTCGATTAGGTTTAGCAAGTGACGGGTTCCAACCTTTTGGTAACATAAGTGCCAATCATAGCATTTGGCCAGTTGTACTAGCTACATATAATTTGCCACCATGGGATTGCATGAAGGATTCGTATTTTATGATGACACTTCTTATTCCAGGACCCAAGTATCCAGGTAATGATATAGATGTATACTTGCAACCAATGATTGAAGAGTTAAAAGAATTATGGGATGGAGTGGAAACTTATGATGCATACTCAAAATCTAATTTTAAGATGCGTGCAGCTATCATGTGGACGATTAATGACTTTCCTGCGTATGGAAACCTTTCAGGATGGTCAACGAAAGGCAAGCTTGCATGCCCTTGTTGCCACAAAGACACAAAATCAGTTTCTTTGCGTAATAAGTTGTGTTATATGAGCCATCGTCGCTTTCTCCCAATAGATCATCCATGGCGCCGAAATAGGAGGAAATTTGATAGGAAGGTAGAAAATGGGGTTGCACCAAATCCTTTAACAGGCGATGAAGCACTTATACAATTACAAGGGTTGGGAAATATTAGTTATGGGAAGGGAAAAAAGCAAAAACGTAATTTTCCAAAAGGTGCTTACAATTGGAGGAAGAAAAGTATTTTTTTTTCAATTGCCTTATTGGCGTACTCTTTTGTTACGGCATAACCTTGATGTAATGCACATTAAGAGAAATGTGTCAGATAATATTATATCAACCGTGATGAATATGGTTGGAAAGACAAAGGACACACTAAAAAGTAGATATGATTTGGTGGACCTTGGTATTAGGCAAGAGTTGCATCCAATAGAGGATGGGGATAATATATTATTACCTGCAGCATGTTATGCATTGTCCTCGGAAGAGAAGTTGAAGTTATGCAATTTCTTGGCTAATTTGAAGGTTCCTGATGCATTTTTATCAAACATTTCAAGGTGTGTCAACGTACTTGAAAAAAAGATTTATGGATTGAAAAGTCATGATCACCATGTATTATTGCAAGACATTCTCCCAGTTGCAATACGTGGTTTGTTGCCTAAGGCAGTGTGTGAACCAATTATAGAGCTAGGCAAATTTTTCAAAAATGTATGCTCTAAGTCCTTAACAATTGAAGGTCTTGATATCCTGGAGGCTGAATGTGCATGCACATTATGCAAACTAGAAATTATTTTTCCTCCGGCATTCTTTGATGTCATGGTTCATTTGCCAATTCACTTGGCAAGAGAGGCAAAGCTTGGTGGACCAGCTCAATTTCGATGGATGTATCCTTTTGAGAGGTAATGTGTTCTATAATAAAAATGCCATATTTGTTAGTGACACATTACATTAATGAATCATTTGCATATAGGTATTTGCGAACACAAAATTCATATGTCCGCAATAATGCTCGTCCTGAAGGTTCAATTGCAGAAGGTTATTTGGCAACGGAAAGTCTCACATTTTGCTCACGATACATAAAGAATATCTCAACCAAGTTCAATAAACCAGCTAGAAATGATGATGGTTCCGTGTCAAATGGTGAGATGTCTATCTTTAAGAAAAGTGGGCAAACAAAAGGTGGTTCAGAAGGCATCAGGTTATCTCATGATGAGTTCAAACAAGCTTGTATGTATGTGCTTCAAAATTGTGAAGAGGTTTCACCATTCATGGAGTAAGTTAATTATTAATTCCAAGTTAGGCTCATATTAAAATGGTTTGAATACATTGTCTTAACTAACTCCATTATCAAAATATAGGGAATACAGGGAAGAGATTGAAAGACAGGAGAGACGGGCATAACAATGAGTTTCTTGATTGGTTTCATGCACGCGTATGTGTCGAGTTAAATAATAATTTTAATATTAGTGTAATTATCACATAGTGTTATTAGTCACAAGGGTGTTATTTGTCTTTGTAGATCTTTATATTATCTACACAAGGACGCGCAAATGATGAGCTCATAAGCTTAGCCGTTGGTCCTGCACCAATGGTGCATCGATATTCTAGATTTGTAGTCAATGGATTCAGATTCCATACAAAAGATCTTGAGTTGAGAAGAAAAAACACATAACAGTGGAGTCCTTGTAAAAGGAGATGATTCAGATTCTAATAACGAGTATTATGGTGTATTAGAGGACATTTATGAGTTGTCATATGTGGGAAATAGGAAGATCTACCTATTCAAGTGTCATTGGTGGGATGTGGCTCACTTAGGAAGAGGATATAAGATTAACAAATATGGCTTTACAAGTGTAAATACTCATTGTGCCTTGAACACTAATGAGACATTTGTGTTGGCATCTCAATCTGAACAAGTCTTCTACTTAGAAGACATGGTTGATAAAGATTGGCTTATCGTTGTAAAGAAAAATCCTCGCGACCTTTTCAATATTCCTGAAGTTGATGATAATTCTGTAGAAGTTGAAGATGAAGCATTACTGAATGAAGAAGCTTATCAACAAGAGGAAGTTGACTTGAATATTTTGCAAAGCAATGACCAGGAAAATGATGTCGATGTTGCTTTACATAGGGACGATGTTCAACCACAAAGTATTGATGCAAGTATACAAGCTCAGACAAGTATGCATGAAGAGGAAAATGATTTCATTGATAACAATCATATAGATGTATCTGATGATGAAGAAAGCGAAGAAGATTTACTTGGTGATGGAGAAGACACTGATGATGATTTTGAAGATTGAGAAGCAAAGACGGATGTAGTTAGATGTCTCATTTTGTTTTGAAAAGTTCTCTGTATCTTAGTCGTTATTAAACTGACAATGAAATTAATCATGATGATTGTAACTTTAGTTTCATAACTAGTTATCTATTAAGCTTTTGTGAATTGAATTGTTACCTGCCTTCTATGTGCACTAAGCTTAATTTTAATTTTTCATGTATAATGATAAGATCTTAACCCTAATTGTGCTTTGGTTCTTACTAATTTTTTTCTATATCATGTAGGAGGTTCAACATGACAGGAATTGGACGAGGCAAAGGTCGAGGTGGAACCGGCCGTGGACGTGGTCATTTTCAAGGACGTAACAATTCTGGAGCGACGTCTCAGCCACAATTGCAGCTAAGGGGAAATACTAGAGCATCCCTAGAGACAGGAGAATCAAATAATCCTTGTCAAGAACCTATAGAGACAGGACAAATATCAAGCAACCCTTTGCAGAGACTTTCTGTTGAGACAGTTTCATCAAGAAATCTGGACAGAAGTGCGTATCCTTCTCCAGAAGCTGAAAGAGGTAGTGCAGGTTAGTTTTTATTTTTCCCTTTAATGTAACTACACATCTGGAGCTGAGCTTGGTTACTACTGTTGGAGCTTGAAATTGCCATTCCCTATATGCTTTTCCTTTTAGCTGTTGTTTTCTCCTTCTCTATATTTTATATTCAGGCAGAGAATGTCAACAGAAATCAGAGTCAACAGAAAACCATGTCATTTCCTCTTTTATGTAGCTATAAATGATTAGTCATTTTACTTGCTCCCGGAATTGATAGATTTGTCTTTGAAATTGTTCATTGTCATGCTCTGTGGTTTGATCATGAGGAGCACTATCTCATTCTAGGATGGGAATTGGCAAAAGATTGTTTCAAAATATGGAGAAACAATGTCGTTAAAGGTTAAGGTAACAAGTTATTTTCAATATTGTGTTGGCTTCAAATTACATGGTTTATTATTGTAGTTAAAATCAATATAATGTTACATTTATATATGTTCAGGATAAGTTTGAAGTTCTTGGCAGTGTGCGAGAGCATGTGTTGCAAGCCTTTGTCATCAATACTATGCAAAGGCTTTTTAGAGCATGGAAAGCTCGATTGAGCAGTCACTACTCTCGCCACATTGCTGATGGAAATATATTATCTCATCGACCTGAAGATGTTGAGCTCGAGGACTGGAAATACCTAGTAGAGTATTTTGGAAGTTCTGAATTTAAGGTAACTTAATAATAGTGTTTGGTTCACTACTCTTTGAATAATGATTTCATAATCTGTTGACTTAGTGCAGGCTGTAAGTGAGAGAAATAGAAAGAACATGGAAAAGCAGATAACTAAGCATACTTGTGGTACAAGGTCTTTTGCAGAAGTAGAGGAATCGACGGTGAAATTATATTTATTATCATGCTATCATACATACTTCTTGTTACCTGTCGATTCATTTATTTGATTATTTATATTTCCTATTGAACTATATTATAGAAAAATCCTATCACTGGAGAAAAAGAAACACCAGATCGAGTCTGGGAGATCCAACATACACGTAAAAATGACAATGGACAAATTGTGTGGGTGGATCCACAATCCCAACAAATTCATGTAATATTATTAAATCACTGCACTCTTATCTTTTTATGTTTATTTTTTTACTGTAAATGACTACGCTTAATTGCAGGGCCAGCTACAGGAACTAGTGGCTCAGCAACAATCTGAAGAGAACAAGCATCATTTGCCTAGAGATGAGATTTTATCCTCCGTTCTCGGTGAGAGAACAGGCTATGTTCATGGTAAAGGGTACGGAAAGAAGCCTCCAAAAAAGAGTCACATTCAAGCAGAAAACTTGGAGGCTAGTGTGTCTTCTGCTATGGCAACTGTGCGTCAAGAAATGCAAGTAGAAATTCAAGCAGAAATGCAAGCTGAGATGAGTCGAAAGTTGCAAGAAGAATGTCAACAAATGGCTGCCGAATTAAAAAGTAACATGGAACAAGAGTTGCAAAGGAAGTTGGAAGAGCAACTTGAGCACGTGAATGTGGAAGTAGACAACCGGATCAGTGTAGAAGTAGCCAAGAGGATTCAAGAACAACAGGCTGCTATCATGACTGAAATGCAACATGTGATCTACTCTTAATGGTTTTGCTTATAGTTTGTGAAGGCCAATGTTAAAAATAGCGTCCGCTTTTTATTTTCATTCTTCTTCTTCTTTTTCTTTCTAAACGTCCAAAAAGCGCCGAAATGCTGGATAATTTTTTTCGAAAAATTCTGCCCAATTGATGCTACTCTTTAAATCAAGATGAGATGTTTCTTTTTGTCAAACAAAGAGATTTTCAATCTCTAGTCTTTATGATAACTGATTATTATTCAAATTCAGGAAAGTTTACTATTAATCTCATTTGATATAGCTCCTTCCCCTTCAAAAGGAGTTCTCTGTTTAAAGGGGAGGTCTAAGAAGAATTCAGGAATATGTCTAAATATTGTTGCTTTGTTCTCAAAAAAAGAAAATTTGTTGCTTTGATTCCCAATTGGTTCTTTGTACTGTCAAAGTTTTGAGTCTGGCAAATAACTAGCTATAACTCCTTGAGTTCCTGTATTTGCTTGCTTGATACAATTTTGATTTCAGAATGATGTGTGCACAAAATGGTATTTAGCAATATGTGAACATTAATCAGAAATTGTCATCTCTTCTGCCTCACAGTCCCTCTCATGTGGTTCCAGCATACCAGCAATTCTCTAGTAGACTTTGGCATAACGCATTTGATTCCTTTCAAACTTAGAAATAGTTGACATAGTTGATCACTGACTTCACAATGTATAAAGATGGTTAATGCTCATTCACATAAATGGCATTTGAGCACAGTTGCATTCCTGAAATTATCTTGAGTTAAACATGCATCTTCAACAAACAATTCTGTCTTCATTGAAGGCCAAATGATCTGTTGTCCAGTATCGTTGAAGGCTATATAAACATACTATATTGATGCCTTTACTTGAGAAGCATGGTTATTGACTTTTGGTTGATTTGAATGCTCATCTTTTTCACCTTGCATCTTATCATAGCATGCATGTTTAGTATTTGCGTTCATCTGAACTAGTACTCTTATTTATTGGAATTTTTTAACTTCTATTAAAATATTGTTATTGCGGTCATGCAGAATGTAACGCCAAAACCTTCTTGGCATGTATTTGATGGTATACTAGCTCGTAGGCTCTTTAATCTTCAAGACTGCATTTGCTTACAAAATTGCTTAAGTTAATTATTTCTTAGGTTTACTCACTGATTATAGGTGTGTCAATTTGGTTTGAATGTGTTGTATTTGTATACAATGTGTCACCAGTATGTAATATCAAACTCACTAATTGTATGCAAGTGATGGACTGATATGGGCGTATTATGCTTTTACCTTGCCCAAGTAACAGGGCTCTAATAGACAATGTACTCTTAGAAATTGTTCCTTGCTTTAGTTCCTTGAAATTGTTCCATAACCTTGAAAAGTTCAGCTATCCTACTTGAGAAATTTTCTGAAGTTAATGTTCTTATATGTATCATTTTTCACCTTGATGTTATCTTCAAGCTCTAACAATGTGATCTTCTATTTGTTTCTTTAATAATAGGGTCAAGGTTCTTAAACAATGGTGACAATGAAGGAGGAGCTTGAAGCTAAGGCACTCAATATTTTGCTTTTTGGTTATATGTAAATGCGTACAATAACAATGAAGTATTACGTAGTATATATGCGGAGGAGCTTATGGCTAAGGCACTCAATATTTTGCTTTTTGGTTATATGTATATGCGTACAATGACAATGAAGTATTACGTAGTGTATATGCGGAGGAGCTAAGGCACTCAATATTTTGCATTTTGGTTATATGTATATGCGTACAATGAAATTGAAGTATTGCATAGTATATATGTAACTGAACTTTTAGTAATGGAAGTGTTGAGTATTTGTTTTAGGAAATTCTTTTGGTGTTTATTAAATACTATTGGATGATCTTAAACTGATATATTAATGTAAACTCGAGTATTCATGTTGCTACTAGAGTAATATTAATGGCGAGTTTCAGTTGCCACAAAAAATCACTATTCAGTAGCTATATAGAGTTGCCACAAAAAGTAACCATTCAGTAGCGTTATTAGAGTTGCCACTGAAGATTAATCATTTTGTGGCAACTAAGTAGCCACTAAATGTCACTCTACTGTAGCGCCAGTAGAGTTGCCACTAATCGAAAATCATTTTTGTGGCAACTAAGTCGCCACTAAATGTGACTCTTCAGTAGCGGTATTAGAGTTGCCACTAATCGAAAATCATTTTTGTGGCAACTAAGTCGCCACTAAATATCACTCTACAGTAGCGCCATTAGAGTTGCCACTAATGACTAATTATTTTTGTGGCGACAATGTCGCCACTAAATATTACTCTTCAGTAGCGACTTCAATAAATTCAGTCTGGGGAACTCTTTTTTGTGGCGAGTTACATTTAGTTTTTGTAGCGACAACGCCGTCACAAAATGTATACATTCTGTGGCGATCGTACGTTGTCGCCACTAGTAATATTCAGTAATGGAAGTACTTGCAGCATTTCCAAAGTCGCTACTGTAACCATTTAGTGGCGACAATTAATGCTTTTGTGGCGACTTTGGTCGCCACTAAAAGGCAGATTTCTTGTAGTGTTCCCTGTAGACAGTCCTTGATCACAAGTGCACATTTACGTAGTTAATAGCCTAATTGCCGTCGGTGTCGCCATTGGTGTTACCATTGATGGTCCTGCCCTAGTTGATTACTTCAATTCCAGTGGAATTATTCCTTGTAACATATTTACAGTCCTAGTTTTTTTTGCGTCTTCAGTTTGTGGGATTGCTCTCGTGCCAAAATTCCTCTGTTGATTCTCAGTTCCTGCTTACCCTCTCTCTCCGGTCCATTGCTTCTTCACCATCCAGCCTTAGCTGAGAGAAGCTCTCATTCTAGAGAGAGAAAGTTTTTTAT